TGCTTCCTACAATGGGAATATTTTCTTAAAATTTAATGGAAATATCTTTAACACTAAGGAAATTAAGAGCAAAAATAGATAACAAGAAGGTGAAATCGTCACAAATTAGTTTAACTATTAATTGCCGCAAGAAATCATGAGCTTGATTTTACCTAACAAACATTCTTGACTTCCTTCTTAAGGATTCAAAGATTCAAGGACTCAAGGAAGTTTTATTGTCATTCGCAACACACAAACATGTGGTGGAACTAAATTCTGTACCCAAGGTCCCGGTCTATCCAAAACAAATGTAGATAATAGAGAAAAACAATAAAAAAATACTCAAAAGATTTCAACATTTTTACAACAACAACAACAACAACAACAACGCCAGAATTGCAAAAATACGTGCATTGAATGTGCAGTTACAGTTTGTTTTCGTTTTGATTTTGAGGTCTAGTGTTCCAGTCTGTGGTTGTAAGAGCTTGAGTCTCACAGCTTCTGGAACGAAGCTGTTTCTCAGTCTGGTGGTTTTGCACCTGATGCTCCGCAATCTCCTTCCTGAGGGAAGTGGGACAAAAAGTGTGTGTGCTGGGTGGGAGGGGTCCTTCCTGATGCAGGTGGCCCTCTTCCTGCATCTGGAGGTGTAGATGTCTGTGGTGGTGGGGAAACTTGCTCCGACTAATTTCTGCGCGGCCTTTACCACTCTCTGCAGAGCTTTCCTCTCTGCTACAGTGCAGCTTCCGTGCCACACTATAATGCTGGAGCATAAAACACTCTCCACCGCGCTTCTGTTAAAGGAGGCGAGGACTGAGCTTCCGAGTCCAGTCCGCCGCAGCCGTCTCAAGTGGTAGAGGCGCTGATGTGCCTTCTTGATCAGGCTGGTAGTGTTGTTGCTCCACGTGAGGTTGTTGTTCAGGTGCACCCCCAAGTACCTGTAGCTGGAGACCACTTCCACTGCTGATCCTCCAATGTGCAGGGGCGGGTGGATATGTCTGCCCCTTCTGAAGTCCACAATCCTTTCTTTAGATTTTCCCTGCATTGATGCAGAGGTTGTTCTTCCTGCACCAACTCTCCAGATGTTCCACCTCCTGCCTGTAGCCCGATTCATCAATGTTTGTGATGCATCCAATCACCATTGTGTCATCCGCAAACTTTACAATACGACAGTCTGGATGATTGAGAAGGCAGTCTGAAGTAAGCAGTGTGAACAGGAGGGGGCTCAGCACACAGCCCTGGGGGGAGCCAGTGTTGAGGTTGATGGTAGAGGAGGAGACATTGTTGATCCTCACAGATTGTGGCCTGTTGATCAGGAAATCCAGGACCCAGTTGCAGAGGGAGGAGCTAAGTCTAAGTGAAGAGAGTTTGTCTACCATGTTATGGGGAATCATGGTGTTAAAGGCAGATGTGAAGTCCACAAAGAGCATGCGGACATATAAGATAAGATAAAATTTTATTGATCCCACAGTGGGGAAATTTGCAAATTACAGCAGCTTAAAACAGGACAGGGTGAGATAGAATAAAGAAAGATAAGTAAAAGAAAAACAAAAAACACTATACTCGTGATATATAACAATGTACATATACCTAGTACAGTACATAAATGAATATACTGTAAATGAAGGTGCATATTAGTGATGGCAGTGTAGGTCAATTGTCCAAGTGACTGATAACGTGTTGTGTTATACAGTCTAACTGATGACATCATGATGTGTTATACAGTCTAACTGATGACATCATGATGTGTTATACAGTCT